GCATTTCTATTCATTTGTCTCCCAGGTCCGTCACTGCTGGTGCCATGAAGCATTTCTATTCATTTGTCTCCCAGGTCCGTCACTGCTGGTGCCATGTAGCATTTCTACAGGTCTGTCACTGGTGGTGTCCGCCCTTGTCCGTTGGCCATGAAGCATTTCTATCACTGCGGGTGTCCGCCCTTTTCCGCAGGCAATGCAGCATTTCTATTCAGTTGTCTACCAGGTCTGTCACTGCTGTGTCCGCCCTTTTCTGCGGCCATGCATTAGTCTCCCAGGTCTGTCACTGTTGGTGTCCGCCCTTTTCCGCTGGCGATGCAACATTTCTATTCATTGGTGCTGCCGCCCTTTTACGCTGGCCATGTAGCATTTCTATTCATTTGTCTCCCATGCGACTTCTTTCTTTTTGTCTTTCAGGTTTGGTGCCTGCACTGCTGTTTTCTGCCGCGTGACTGTCTCCGGGAGTGCATTCCTGCCACACTGTGTAACTCTCTCTCAGCTTTGTTTTCCTTTTCGGGCAGGCGTTGGATGAATGACCGGATTGGACTTTGGCGGCGTGGCAGCGATCTCTCTATTCAGTTGGGACGGAGGGCATGCATCAGGCACCAAAAATCAATTTCATGTCACATCCTTCGCTCCTCATGCTTCTATTTCTTGTCCTCACGTGGTCAGCTCCTTGCTGATTGAGCAGCATGACCAGCATCATGTTTTGAAGAATAATTCCCCAAGAGGTTTACTGTCAGGGCTTCTCAATTCTTTCTTAAGATGTGTCCGCCCGCTCTGTACTGCTGTGTCCGTCTCTGCCTTGCAATCCTTTACGTTCGTCTCCCAGCTCTGGGCTGCTGTGGCCGCCTCTGCCTTGCAATCCTTTGTCTCCCAGCTCTGGACGTCGCAAGCTCTAGTTTCGATTTTGAAAAGCACAAACTGTTTGGGGTCTACGGTGGTGTAATTTATTATATAAGTTCTTTGTGGTTTCGTCCGTTTCGCTCGTAAATAGTGTAGCATCACAACACATTTTAGACCTTGGATAATGGATAGTACTATCGATGTGTGAAACTTCAATTTGAATGTCGGTCCTCGCCCGTGTCGGCCTGGAAGATCAATACACCCTGGAAGACGATCCCATGGACCCTGAAAACCACGTCGGTTGGTAGAGGAAAACACTCTTCCAGGGGGCCATTGTCAGGGTCTATGTTAGTTTTCGGGAGTGTAAACTCGAACTCAAATTAATCTTTGGTTCCCTAAACTTTGGCTCTTCAGCCATGAGGCATCCCAATTGGTTTCTTGCTCACGGCGATTCAGCAGCTGGTGGCCTTTGCGTCGTTCTGTGCGTTTTTGGGCTTCAGCCACCTGTATCGCGGGGGCGGCTATGGCTACTGGGACAGGGTCTGCCAGCGACTTGTCAAGAACGTCCTGAGTCCCAGAGCTTCCCGGCTTTGCATAAGGTATATTCACGAAATCTAGTGTCAGCTCGCTGGAGTTCCTCTTGCTTTAGCAAGTCTTTTTCCCATGGGATGGAATGCCCCACCCTGTGAATGTTTCATGCGTAGGGCCCCCCATGGGTTCAACTCCCCCCTGTGACGTGTCAATTTTATCTTTTCACACCTCTGAATCTGAATCAATCAACTTTCATTTTTGTTCTATCTTCATGGATACCAGCTTTGCCTGGAATATCATCCGTAGGTTCGAATGAAGCAGACGGTGGAGAGTAGCACATGAACATGGTTTCGCAGTGCCGTAAAAAGCCTCATTCTCCTCCAATGTTTCGCATTGTTCAACCCATGCTAGCTTTCGTCACCAACCCCCGGCCTCAAGTTTCCGCATGCAATCATATGGAAATTGTATGTGTCTTTTTCCTGAGGAATACAGCCTGGAAGACGATCCCATGGACCCTGAAAACCCCTGGTTGGTAGAGGAAAATCGTCTTCCATGGGACCAGGACGTCAGGGTCTATGGTTAGTTTTCCTGAGGAATACTTGGTTTTATTTGGTTCCGGGTTCCCGGTTCCCGGAGCAAATCCAGGTCTTTCAATGTCAATGCGCGGAAGCCATGGCACGTCAATCCATCAGGAGCGACAGACATGTGGTGGTCTACTCCCGGTTCTCGGTCAGGAGCTCGAAGCGGGAGCGTTTCTACGTCTTGATCTTCAGTCTTCTTTTTGCGTTCAACATCGGCCTCAACAACTTCAGCTCCTGGGAGGATGGAGAGAGTCAAACGGCGACGGCTGTGAAGGGGAAAGCGAGCAACGAGTCTCCAAACAGGAGAAACCGCCGTCTTACTTGTTCAAGGCTTTTCTCTTGCTTTCGAAACAAGAACATCGAACGGATCGGAACAACAAGAGCACACAAGAGCACCAAAAAATATCTTTTGGTGTTCATCCTCTTATCTTCGCATTTGGGACATTTGGGAACAGCTCCCCCTGAAAAACACAAACATATACCATTATACCATATAACATTACCCATCGACAGTGTTGGGCAGCCCAGATGCAGATGCTGCGCTGGCATACAGGCAAGCTATGCACATATGCTGGTTACATGGGGTGTCTGAGTGAGGTTTGTCGCAACTCGACATCTCTGTGAACCACGTCATCCGCTCCTGCTTGCCCTTGGCCACGGTCGCTCGAAGAAGGTGAGAAGGTGAGCCAAAAAGGAACAGGTGGGGTGAAACGCGGGATCTTGGGCTGTTTATGGCATTCCCCAACAATCCATGCATGGAATTAAAGGGACTACTTACCTACATTGACCCTCTATATCCCTTATTTAAACAGTTATAAAACCATGTTAAACCACATAAAAACCGTAAGTATACATTTCTTACGTCTTGGATGATACCTGTTTCTTCCACCTGTTTCCACGTTCTGGAGTCGAGGCCTTGTTGGAAATGGTCTGCAGACATCGCAGAAGATCCGCTGCTGCGTGGCTCGGCAGGAGAACTCAGAAGGGCTGTGAGCCAAGACAAGCAGCCAAAGTAGAACGTGTGGATGTGTTCTCTTTGGTGTTTGCAAGATCAAAACCATCAAAATGGGTTCCGTGGTGTGGAAAAGGGAACATACTAAGCTTACTGTATCTTTGGATGAGATGTATGGGTATTCGCGAGAGAAGTGCAGTTGATGGCATCTTCTACTTGAGGCAGGTTCTGCAACTTCAAAGCATATCGTAGGTAGTATCCTAGGTCCTTTGTCCTTGTCATTGACCCTGTGGGTTCGGCCCTTTTGTGGGCAACCCACAGCTACTCAAGAACGCATCATTTGCATGACATACAGCCCACTTCAATCAATCAAATAGTTTGTCGCTGACCTACAGGTGCAGAAGGCACAAAACGTAATGTGGTTCAGTGACAAGTCGGTGAAGTATTGCATGTTGAAGGACACCTACTCAACATTGCGCGCGCGCGCGAGTCGCAGGTGGTCACTGCTGGTGATGGGCGTGGGTTGTGCCATGGTCGCCAACTGGTGCAAAGACTCCCGAGATCGTGGGCGCCTAGAGTCTACTCGCTTAGGCTTGACCAGCAGCGGCGCCCAAACCTTGACGACAGAAGAGTTTTGGCAACAGAGCCCTCTGGGTTTGGGACTGGGACGCTGGGTCCCGAATTGTACAACTTCAGCGCTAGAGGAAGAACCGTGTTTCGAGGTACAAACTGTGTTTTGCCCAGTGCTTTGGGTGTTCCACGGAGCACAGTGTGACTGGCGCAGTGTTTAGTGTCTCTATGTGTCTTTTGTTCTGGTCCGGAGTAGGCTGCAAAGTGATCAACCAACCAACAAACCAACCCAACTCTGCAACCACCCAACCAAGAAACAAAACATCACCATCACCATCCATCACCCATCAACCAAACAAACCCAAACCAAACCCCACGAACTCAAGCCTCAATCATCCCACCAGTTGTACTGTTACTGTAGCCACCGACCTCGTCGAGGTCCGCACCGACGACCTCCGCCGTGATTCCAGACATGCGGGGCACCCACTCGGCGAGGCGTGCTCGCTGCCATCTTAAGCGCCTGTTTCAACGGTGGGTGCGCCAGATGACGAAGAGAGAACGCAGGAATTCCATGAGAGAACTACGAGCGGCCTTGTCTGACGTGGGTTCTGTGCTGTGCTTGTTTTTGGGTGAGCAGAAGGACTCCAGCTCGGCTCTGTGCGGAGTCTGACGTTGTCCAAGACTTGAGTGGAGGGTAGACATGGTAGACAGGAAGGTTCGTTCGTTTTGAGACACAAAAATGCTGTTTTCCATTGAGAAAGACAGATCTCAGATGCTCTCAGGTACCTGGTGGTCACAAAAATGTTGGAAGATGATTTGAAGCTGAGTCCGATTGATGCCACTTTCTACATGGTGCTTTGGCCGTGGATGTTTTCGACCGATCCATGGAAGTTGGGCACTGCAGCGCCAGGGTGCTCCTGGATCCACTGCATGAGTCTTAAAAGATCTTTAAAAAAGTAATTACCACCTTGGAGCCTTGTATATATATATATATACGGGTATACACGCCAGAAGTCCAAAGCTTTTGGCACCGAAGTCAGTGAAGGACAATTGCGTATTTCGGGTCATCTCTAGCGCGACCATTTTTAAAGACACGTTCTGGTCGACTGGACTGCCAGGGTCGGGCGGCCTCGAACCCGTTTGGTCGAACCCGTTTGGAGTCGGTTCTATAGGCCTCGAAGACTAAGAGGCTGAGCACTTGCCCAAACACATGGGACTGCCATGACGGACTGCCTTCAAAACGGCCAGGGGTGGGTGCCAGGGGGGTCAATGGGATGGCAGTCCTATGGCAGCCCCAGACGAGTCGTGTTTGGGTTGTTGGAGGATCCGATTCGAGAACCGGGTGGAACGCGACATCAGTCAGGCCTTGCCAGTGATCTTCATCATGATGTGGCCGACCGTGAGAATCGTCCACCCAACCCGCTGGAGCAACTCAACCAGCCGCGACCATCGCAGTTGGACGAACGGTGTCGCGTGCGTGGTGGTACGAAGTGGAAAGCCACATGTTTGTAGTGGATTTCATGGTCTTCCAAGGGGCCATGCCATCCAGTTCCATGTTAGTTCCAGGGAGTGTAAATGATGGTTTATGGTCTATTAAGCAAACATGTGTGCGGTCTATTTCCCTGATCAACAACATGGTTTTGTGGATGACACCCCCTGTTCGTAGAGGATTTCTATGGTCTTCCCCGGGGGCCATGTTCATCCATTTTCTACTTCCGATTCTTTCAGGGATGCCCTACCCTCTGGCCATACCCTCCTAAGATGTAGGCCTTGGAACGCCCGATCCATGGCCGGAGCACCAGGTGATGACATGACTGACCTGCAGGTGTTCCAGGCAGCGGGGCGATGCGGGGCGGCTGGCGGGGCGGCGGGCGGCGGGTTCCCTGACAGTGGATGTTCCCTTCCAAGAAGGAGTCTTTAGAAATGAATTGGTTCAATGGGAAAACATACCAAGTGCATGGGGATGAACAAGTAAATACCAAAGAGCCAACTGCCCAAAGCCTTGGGGCAGCTGTGCTGGCTGACATTTGAGGACTGGCGAGGCACCAAAACCACACACAGCAAGCATCATAGGTTGACATCTCCATTGTGAGTTGAGTGCCTGTCCATAGCAACACAATCAGGTGGTTCTTTTCAGCCGCTATCAGCCAATACTTCAATTGTCCAGCGATGAGGGAGTTGCAGTGCCCGGCAGTGCCTAGGTCTCGCGATTGTTTGCGAGAGCCAGGTCTCCCTGTGCCCAGTAGTTTTGGGACTTGATGCGTCATAAACCCCACCTGCATGGAAGTCATCCACTACCAAATAGGTGCAAAGCGAGTCATGTGGACTCTCACGGGGTCGTGGAGGGAGTTCCAACGAGAGACATGAAAAGACCACGGCTTTTGGCCCAGTTCTGGGTGGTGTCGCAGCGGTGCCAAGTGGTTCAGGCCCCTCCTGTCTCTTAATGAGCGATAAGCTGCAACCTGAGGATCGGCTTCCATGGCTTTCTACTGAAATTTCAGACCAAACGGACATCTGCCGCAACTCCTCAAGTAGATAAAGTTGCGTGTGGGGTAGAAATACTGGAGAGCTGGGGGCCGCTCAAATCCTTCCACAAACACAATTTTCTTTCGGTATTTTCATACCCATGAGGAATCCTGTATGAAATGAGGGGTGTCCCTATAAACCGTTTCATGCCTTCCCTGCTTGCGGGGGTTGGGGATGGTTGGGGTGTGATTTAATAGAGGATTGGGTGTTGTTGTATTTAGACTTTGTGTGAGCTTTTGAACAACTGCTTGGGTGCGGCATGTTGTGGCTCACAATCTGTGTGAGATATTTATCAAAATGAATATGCAAAATCAGAGATTGAATCAAGAGGGTAATGATAGCATAATAGCCTGTAGCATGTTTTGACATGTTTTGGCGACGAGACGAACAGAGACACGGACATCAGCAAAGGGCCAAAACAATGCTTTTGAGCCTCACTGATGAGTAGATTTGACTTTGAGGGAGGTCATTTGATGTAAAACACACGTTTCCGAATAGCCTCGGTCCCCAATCAAGGTCCCCAAGGGGTGCTGATCCCCACCATATTAGATTTATAAAACTAAATGACATGTCATACCCCCCAACCCAAACCTCCACAGGATGTATTTTCGCAAAGCCTGTGAAGCCGGTCGTGCAGGAGGTTTGGCAAACAAACCCAGCGGCAGTGGGGCCCGTCTTCTTCTCCGGCGTGCTGGCTTTTGGTTACAACGTCTTGCAGCCTCTTGGTTTCGACTCTTGCATGGTTCTGCTATGTTCTGCTCTTCTGAATGCATCACTTGCTGCTTTTGGAAGATCTTTTTCATGAACCAAGGATCATACGGATCATAGATCCATCAGGATGTGCGGCCGCACATCCATAAACCCTGCACTCCTTGTGCCAGCACTCCAGGTACAAGTTGATCTCACAGCTCGAGGCCACCAAAGCCTCCTTCGCGGCGATCGTGAACATGGCGGGAGCCGGAACGGGCGACCGACCGACCCATGGGGAACGGGGCGGCTTGGCAGGTATCAAGCATGCGGCTGGGCAGTGCTAGATCAGAGCCAGGTCCAGCTGAACCAAACAACATCTATCAGAATGCTCGGACCTTTGGACCTTCGGGCTCTTAGTTCGGGTGGGAATGGGCTTGGAGTTTCGATTCCAGGCCCAATTTGTTAATCCAGGCTTCGCGAGAGCTGGGCTTTTTTGGGGGGTGGCTCCCGCTTCAGCGGGAGTGGGTGGGATCTCGCAGGTGTCGGGCATTGTCGGTCGGGTTGATCTCTTGGAACACCTCAAGACCAGCTGAGCCTTGCTAGGATATGAATGTTGATTGTTGATTAATGGGACCTCCGTCTCCAGAAGTGTGGAAAACATCTCTAGGTTTGGGGTGTCTGATGAATCCATCGTGAACACTGAACACTGTCACTATTGTTTCAGAAATCGTGCTTTTTGGAATAAGACCTCTTGTCATCGCCCTTGCCAGCAGTTAAGGTAGAACCAGAAGGTTCTACAGTTCTACAGTTCTACTGTTACTTGCCAACTTTGGCAAGGAGTTATAGCAGCGAGAGCTTGTGCGGTCTTTAGGAAACATAGGAGCACCACCTCAAGCATCTTTTTCACTTTAAGCAGAAGAAGGACAATCATTGATCAAACCCTTGCTTTGTTCGTCTGATACTGAACTGCCAGTACTTGCTCCTCTTCCCGGCGCAAGACGCCACAACCCCAGCCGACTGTTTCACCATTCCAATGCGCGGAGTCCTCGGAGGGCATGGCTGTGCTACTCAGCTTGGTCTCCGGCACGGAGACGCTGCCCGAGAGGCGCCTGGTCGAAGCGGGGTCGATAGAGGGGTACAGGGAGTTTTGGGAAGTCACGAAGGTAAATCCTTTTGGATCATTTGCACTACCTACTGTACTGCTGCTGCTGCTCCTGCTCCTGCTCCTGCTGCTGCTGCTCCTGCTCCTGCTCCTGCTCCTGCTGCTGCTGCTGCTCCTGCTACTGCTACTCCTACTGCTACTCCTACTGCTACTCCTACTGCTACTCCTACCACCACCACCACCACGACTACTACTACTACTACTACTACTAATAACTACTACTACTAATAACTACTACTACTACTACTACTAACTACTAACTACTAACTACTAACTACTAACTACTAACTAC